AACAGAAGTTTCTCAGCAGAAGGCATACTCCCATTCATTAATATCGCAAAGGTATGTCGTCTCCTATGCCTCAAACACCAAAACAATACCATCATCACCAGCTGTTACGACGCGTTCGCCCGTGCTACCTTGGACAAAGCCCAAAACACCACCGCCTTCTCCGTCACCGCGGTGTCCTTTCCATTCCTTTACCGTACTCTCTGTCGAGGCGCCGGCCGCGCCACGGACATCCCATCGGCGGACGACACCATCCATACCACAACTCGTCAGTAGCCAACCATCTCCGAGGCTGGGGACGAATTCGACTTTAACAACACTGAATTCCTCGTGTGCATCTTTTATGTGCCTTCTTACTGCGAACCGGCGTGAGGTATCGTAGATAACGATGCTACCATCAACACTGCCTGCGGCAAGCAGAGGGTTGTTGGGTGAGAAACTGAGTGTCTCAATACCATCGCCCTGTGTGTGTAAATCTGCCAGGATAGTGCCGCCTTGGCTCCCTCCTGCATCAGCGCCCTTCCCTTTTGTCTTGCCTTGCTTGCTAGAGGCCGGGTGACTATCAGCTCCTAGGCGAGGTAGACTAATGATCTTGATAGCGCCGCCCGCACCACCGACTGCGACAAACGACGTCTTAGGGTCGATCGCGACGGAATATAATCCGCCCTCGACGGCGAATCGCTGATCGGAGCTATTAAGCGAAACAACAGTCTGCCCGTTGTCATTGGTGAGACCCTTTGCCGCCGCCTCGCCCCAGACATCCCAAACCAGTAGAGAGCTATCCTCAGAAACTGTGGCAAGGAACTTTCCGTCGGGTGACCAGGCGCCGGCCGTGCACGATTCGGTATGTAGGAAATAACTTTGGACGATCTGGAGGGGATTTGACTCATCGCTGGGATCGATTGTGTAAACCCACACCGAGCCATCGGAAGCTCCCAGCGCTATCGTGTTCGCCACGCTCGTTTCCGAGTTGGAAGGTACCGGACACGGCGCGAGCCAGTTGATCTCGGGTACTTCCGCCGCTTCGGCCACAAAGGCGAAGGATGCCTTGTTCCGCGCATCAATCGACAGTTTGTAAGCGCGCAACTTGCCATCTAATCCACCCGACACCAGAAACTCGCCGCGGGGTAGGGTGAAGGCTAATGCGTTGATGGAGTCAGTGTGGCCCTCGATTGTGAATAGCGGCTGCAGCTCGGTGCTCTTCTGTTGCGACGCATTCGGGTCGGCGTTGTAGCTTGGCGGGAGGACAGGTCGGCCGACGACAGGGCTCGTGTCGAAAACGTACCCCTTCCCGGGCGCATTGTCTTCTTCGCCCTCGCTTCCGCCGGTCGCGATTAAAGTCGGTTGTGTGGGGTGTTGGGCAATGGCAAATACCGAGTCTTTGTGCGCATCGAAGTAGGCGATACTATCGTTGTGGATGTTGATCTCTACGGGCTCTTCATCGTCTGAGTCCATAGCCACGTCGCCTTCCACATCATCGATCTCTTCCAGCGCGTCATCGACATCGAGCATCTCGGGCGCATCGTCTATGTCGTCTCGATGAGGGGCAGACATGGTGGGTTGTTTTTTTTGTTACTGTTCGTTGTTAGGTGTGTAGAAACAAACGATGAGAGACTGTGAGCAGGTCCTGGTTGGTGTACTTGGGTATGAGACGTTATAAATCCAAATTATTCGGGGATTTGCGTCCGGTCGTGGATGTCTATCGAAGATGACTTTATTGCTTGATAATCAATCACCCAACTTTTTTTTTTAGATAGTTGCCATCGCGCGTTGATGGTGGGGTAACATCCCGCCGACAGCTATGTACTGACTTAGAGTCTGTACTACCCCGCCATCATGGGCTTGGAATTTGAGGGAACCTACCCGGGAACCATGGTCAGGGGTTTGGCTATTTGGGTAGGGGCAGCATGCAGTGGCTCTGGGATCTGGAAGTCTGGAAGTCTGGAAGTCTGGGAATCCGTCTGGGGTGTGGCTCCGCTTCTCGGGCTTTCCCGGAGACAGCTGGCCATGCGCAAAAGCTGGATGCGATTGCCGGTGCGTTAACGTGAAGCTCGACGATAATTTTTTAGCAGTCGAGAGCGTTGCGTTTGTGTTTTGCGCCTTTTTTTCCCTCAACACCATCCTACAGTCGGTTTGCTGCAGCAGCATTAGAGTTTTGCGTGACGTGCTTTATAGCTGATATCCCATTGTTCTAAACCACCAATTACTCCAATTGGCTGCGCATTTCTGCACTCTCCTGCTAGTACGATCGCATCTCCAAGGAAGCAACTGCCGCCATGCTTCGATCGGTACGGGCTACTGCCGGCGCTGGCCGAAACATGCTTGGGCCGAGGACGGCTCCACGAGTGCTCACATGCAAATACTCCAGCACCACCTCCTCACCCTCATCCTCATCCGCCCCCGCCACTTCGTCATTCAGATCCTCGATACCTAGCAACAGCAACAGCAGCAACAACACCATATCCACCAAATCGAATTACCCCCTACAATTCCAGCGAAACCTCCACGCCACATCCACGAGAATGGCTGCCAACACGCGAACCGAGAGCGACGCCTTTGGCGAGATCCAGGTCCCTGCCGACAAGTACTGGGGAGCTCAGACCGAGCGGTCGCTTGAGAACTTCCGCATCAACCAGCCCCAGGACCGAATGCCGCCTCCCATTGTCAGGGCCTTTGGTATTCTGAAGGGAGCCGCCGCCACTGTGAACATGCGATATGGACTTGGTATGCAGACCAACCCCCCACCTTTGCTTTCGCATTTGCGACGTCAATTGGGGCCAGCTTGAGAAGACAAGAAAGATACTTACCACTGTGATTGCGCCTCCAGATGAGAAGATTGGCAAGGCTATCCAGCAGGCCGCCGCCGAGGTCGCCGACTTGAAGCTCATTGACCACTTTCCCTTGGTGGTCTGGCAGACCGGTTCTGGCACACAGTCCAACATGAACGCCAATGAGGTCATTTCAAACCGAGCCATCGAGATCCTTGGCGGCACCATGGGCACCAAGAAGCCCGTTCACCCCAACGACCACGTGAACCGATCCGCTTCGTCCAACGACACCTTCCCCACTGTCATGCACATCGCCGCTGTTCTAGAGATTGAAGAGGCTCTGCTGCCTTCGCTCAAGAGCCTTCGCGACGCCCTGCAGAAGAAAGTTGCCGACTTTGAGGCCAAGAACATCATCAAGATCGGACGGACACATCTTCAGGACGCCACACCTCTGACCTTGGCCCAGGAGTTCTCCGGCTACGTCGCACAACTGGACTTCGGCATCAAGCGCGTGGAGAGTTCCCTCCCCGATTTGAGATTGCTGGCGCAGGGCGGTACCGCCGTGGGAACAGGCATTAACACCTTCGAGGGCTTTGGCGAGGCTATTGCCGAGGAAGTCAGCAAGATGACTGGCACCGAGTTCAAGACTGCACCCAACAAATTTGAGGCGCTTGCCGCCCACGATGCCATCGTCCAGGCTTCGGGCTCTCTCAATACTTTAGCTGCGTCGCTCACCAAGATTGCTCAGGATATCCGTTACCTCGGCAGTGGTCCCCGTTGCGGCCTCGGAGAGCTGGTCTTGCCAGAGAACGAGCCTGGCTCCAGTATCATGCCCGGCAAGGTCAACCCAACTCAGTGCGAGGCTCTGACCATGGTGTGCGCCCAAGTCATGGGTAACCACGTCGCCACAACCATCGGTGGCATGAACGGCCAGTTCGAGCTCAACGTTTATAAGCCCCTTGTCATCCGCAACCTGCTCCACAGCGTCAGGATATTGTCGGATGGCATGCGTTCGTTCGAGAAGAACCTGGTTGTAGGCCTCCAGGCCAACGAGGAGAAGATTGCCAGCATCATGAAGGAATCGTGAGTAGAATTTCGTATTCCAGTTAATTATGATCCGTATATGCTAACGATTATGGGACAGTCTCATGCTTGTCACTTGCCTCAACCCCAAAATTGGCTATGACATGGCTTCCAAGGTTGCCAAGAACGCGCATAAGAAGGGTCTCACACTGAAAGACAGCGCTTTGGAACTCAATGCTTTGACATCGGACGAGTTCGACACGCTCGTCAAGCCCGAACTGATGGTCGGGCCCAAACCTTACAAGGCCTAATACCCGAATATTGACTGTTTCGACCTGGCATATTCCACGTAGTTGGATAGTATCCACTATTTTATGAGGCATTGACGTGCGACGCGAACACATCGATTCATGACCCATCAGCGGCCCCTATTGTACATGGTTGGGCAAAACCGGCAACACTGCGGCTGTACACATAAATTCGCTTGTAGAAAGGAATGTACATATTATCATAGCATTGAAAAACACTGGAAAATTAAATCCTTGCACCACAAATAATTTGACATCATGGGCCGTACATAGAAGCCAGGCTAGTTAGTGCATGCCATTCTCGAGGCGAGCTTAGTTAATATTATTTGCTGGCGATCTTAACACGACACTCGGGTCATTACATGTGGGATGTAATACATTAGGTTAGTAATGTCGATATCGCAGTAAGTTGCACTTCAATGGCTGTGGTTCATGTATACCATGTATCCGACTCTTCGCCCTATGCTATGGAGCGAGGCGCAATCTTGGCCCAACCTGTTTGCCTTGTAACTCTCGACGGACTCATCATCCTTTTTTTCAATGTTCACACTTTTACGTTTCTTGAATATCATCTCGTAGTATTGTAGGCGAGTGGCGCGCATACCGACTGATTCAATGCTCCTGTTCGAACTTGTATGTTGTGTGTTCCTTGTGACAAGTGTTGCAGTCTGTGGAATGGGTATGTATGCATTGAATGAATACTTGCTGTTGTACACGGCGTCCAACCCCATTTCAAACTCTGCACCAGTTACTGGCGGTATCCATCGTGATCGTGCTATTCAATAGATTGAGTATGATGAATATTCTCTTGTCTACTTGAAATGAAAATCTTCATTCAGTAAGGTTGCAAAGGCCATACATATCATATATACATTGAGTCCTCCTTGGTTCCAGAATGCCTTATGCTGTTGGCTGCTACAGGTGGCTAGGCGGCCAGGCCCCTGACGTGGAAGTCGTGGGTTCGAATCCCATCTGCGGTGGGTGGTGCGTGGTGCGTGGTGAGAAAAAAAAAAGTGTCATGTGTAAAAAAAAAAAAAAAAAATTAATCGCCCTGCCTTGGGTGTGTAAGCCCCCTCGCTACAGCGCGCCCTCCTTTCGGATTGGGTATTTCGGTTTGCCGGCCGGGGGCCCGCCTCTGGCCACCCAGATCCCTAACGGGACCAGCATGTCTTCCCAAGGCTCCATCGCGCTTGTTAGGCTCGACTTCTGTTGCGGCGGGGACCGGTATCTGAACCCTAAGCCCCGCGGGTTGTAGATGTGGTGGTCTACCCGGTTGACTACTTGGGTGCTTGTTGTAAAACCGAACTGATCTTTTAATTTATATACCTCCCAATGCAGGTGGGTGGTCGTTTAGGTGCGCAGGTGCCTTAGTTTCCCCCGAGTTGCTGGGCAACTGACCTGCAGATCTGCCCTTTGCTGCGTCTGATGAGGTGTTTATTCGGGTACCTGGGTACTTCTCCTGCACCCAGATCACCGAGGAGGGGATTACAGGTGCCCTGTTCGATCCTGGGAATGAGTTATTTGGAACTGTCCTTTTTTGCCTTTTCTTTCCTGCCAGTGTGCTCTTGACAGCCGGACGGTCGAGAGGATCGCAAGCCTTGGGCTGGCCATCGATTAGAAGGTTTCCCAATAAATTCAATCTGGAATACTTACCACCTGTATATTCCATATGCCTTCTGCTTGCGTCAAGTTAAACTTGAACGTCACTGAGTCACGTAAGCTTGATCTGTCCCGTTACTGGACTCTTTGGGATACCCTCATACACCATAACACTTCTCATGAGAGATATAGAACATCCAAGTTAGAACATGACCATCAAACTGGCAGCCATGCATCCCACGCATCTGTGAGGGTATAAGACAATGTTAGAGATGGGCGAAATCAAGTTGTAAATGGGGTTTCGCCTTATTGGATATCGAGCGTTCCCGAGTATAGGTCAAGGGCATACTTACAGTTAACGACGGAGTTATGATTCTTCGCAATATCAACCCAATCCTTCGTTGTGGGATATATACAAAGCTCGCATAGCATCTCTTTCATGGCAGCGAGTTTTGTCTGTCACGGAAGCTCTCGGAGTATCCCTCGGTCCACAGACCTCATACCACACGGACCAAAGGCCCAGGATATATACTCAAACAGTATTCATTCCGCTTGCATAAGTAGAACCTCCCTCTCCCCTATGCAATGAGAATATTTAACAATAGGAATACCAACAGTCAGAACTCCGGCAGCGCCCTTGGCAAAATGGACTTGTGATATCGCCGTGCGTAAGGAGATCAAAAAGTTCCTTGCAGACGGGGTCGGGCGCGTTCGAGCACGCTACTGCTAAGAACAATGCTTGTGGAGGATTACCTAAAGTAAGGTAGTCGATCGGCATCGGGCTAAGTCTAGTCAATATTTGCTGAACCCCTTGGCCTTAACACTCACTGGGTTAATGTGAAATGGATATTGACGAGGGGCCTTCACGCAGCATAGCACGTGTTATTTCAGTGTTCATGACAAATGCGAAGGGGAAAAAAGAAACCACTATTCATTTGATACGCTTTGGCTGAACCGCAAGAAAATAGGTTTACAAGATTATGTATCCTGATATGTAATGGGCTATATACGGGAAAATGAAGAAATGATCAAGAAAAATACATCCGGGACGCCGAAAATGCGCAATAATGAGAGTAGCTGCTACAAATGCACTGACTCTTGGTATACAGCCTCTAATCGTTAGTATCAAGCACAATTCGAACTGAACAAATTCGATTCCAATACCTGGGATAAGCCACACCCATGATATTTCAATCATGCTTAATGGGTGTTTGCACCCACTAGGTTCATAGCTAGGCATACTAGCATTACACACCCACCATAAATGGCCAATGCTAATGACGCTCTTCGAAGATGGACTGGATTCAGGTGTTCCATGTCCCATCTCCACTTCGTCCGCCATCGCCATGGCAGTTTGGAGGTTTTGCTTTTTGCATTGGTGCCACTTGCACCGCTGCGGATGCTCGAAACACTTGCACCCAGCAGTCCCTCAGCACCTTCATTGTCGGTGGCGTCACTGTTGTCGTCTTCCGAGGCAGGTGCCGATAAAGCATCGTCATCTTCTTTAGTTAACCGCTGGTGATGAATAGAGTCGGGGTCGGAGATTTTGTAGTAAAATAGACCAGGTAGGATGAAGCTAATGGAAGTGCTTCCTGTGGATCCGACATAAGCAAGAACCCTCTCCAATGAGGTGACTGTCAGGGCCACGCTGTAGGCTAAGACAAGAAGAATCGTTGTAAGGATAGCAAAGCGTAACTCTGACATGGGCGCTGATCCGTGATCCGAGCGCGCTGCTGTTGGGAGCAATCTGCTGGATGGAGAACCTGTTCGACCTTGCGTGCCAGGGATGGCGTTCGGACGCCATTTCAACACAGCATCCACGGATGCCCGGCAGGGATGCACCTGTAAGGGGACGGAAAAAGTAACGAGAATGACAATGGCGGCTTTTGCGATTGTAGAAGCGATCGATGGTGCATCTTTAAACCGATTTGTCAGTTATATGGAGAACATTGCGGGTAGAAAGAGCACGTACACATTGAAACAATGTTGCCAGTAATATCATTTCCAAATGATAAGTAACCGGTAACTGACACTAGAACGTAGACACCAGCAGCAGTGCCAATACTCGAAGAAATTACGCCGAGGATACTGCGCATCAAATTAGTAACTTGGAGAGAAGCTGGAAACCGAAACACCTTATGTAATATTCATTACCTTTTTGGAGAATTGTCCTTGATCTCGTTAAGAATCGAGAACATATTCTGATGGCATGTATAGGCAAAGATAACCACGGGTAAGCTAGCGAGGGCCTCAACGGGCCCGGCCCATTCAATGACACGAATCTTGTCTCTTGGCGCGAGAGCATCGGAAGCGAAGTGGTACACTACAAGTACAATCAAGTAGCCAATGGCGACAAGAGCGATGATACTGGTGTATTTGAGCGAGTCGAGACGGCGAAGGAAGCTCAGAGGAATGATGACCAGCATGAATACGGTAATCCAGAAATTTCGGTCCATCAGGTAGGCGATCGATGCTGCTCTACTATCGAACCCTTCGATCACACCTGGCATCAGATCCCCTATGATGATCATGTATGACACGCCGACCCCAAAACACTTGATCGCTATGGCGGCATCGAAAATAACGGCAGCGTTCGGATATGTCATTTGCGATAGGGCAAAGAAGGACGACGACCCACGGTCTAGATATCGAGCGCATCGTGATTGGAGATAAAGCCCAAAGGCAGAAGTGAAGCCTGACCAGAGTATGACGATGACTCCAAGTACCATGCCGAAATGCGAGAGTGCGGAGGGCATGGCGAGGGTGCCGGCACCCAAGACTAGAAACAGTGTATGTCAGATTTTTAGTTCGCCATGAAACGGTTATTGGCGAAGACAACGTACTGGTGTTGAGCAGGTTGGTCACGCTGCTGAACATCGAGGCGGACCCGCTACCGCCATCTTTCGGGTGAGGCTTTCCCCTGCGAGATCTAGAGCAAGCAGCACGACGTCAGCACTGGACAACGGGCTCGCAGCGAAGCATGAAGGTTACCTTGTCATATCGCCTGATGCACTGGTCCCCGCGGTCGAGGTGGTGCCCCCATGTGTGATTGCCGAGTAATTCGGCATAGCCCAGAAAGAGGAAACTAGCCCCAGACCAGACGAACGGCGAGAGTCCGGCTGGCCAGAGTCTTGTCCCAGGCACAGTGACACGATATGTCAGCCCGACGCCCCGTCTATTGCTCGCTCGTCACTCGGCTACGCCCACACCTCTCTCTGATTGACCGACTGTTTGGTAGTTCTGCCAGCACCGACAGCCAGACAGTTATCGTGTGTTAAGGGCTACCGAATAGGGATATATACAGAGGCGCTTAAACGCGGAGGGCACGACCAGGCACGCGGGTATCGCTTGTGGTCGGATCGGATGGTGTTTGGAGCTGGATTGAAGATGTCTGAAAAGGTGGAACGAGTCTCAGTGGCATTGAAGCTAGACTTGACGATAGGAATTCTACCTACTGGTATCGACGTATGTACCCCCAATGACAGCTGTCATCGGCACCACTAAAATTTAGCACTACTGTGATACGAGATTAGAAGCCTCCCCGGCAAGGATGTGCCGGGTTGCCGCCTCGCAAAGGCGCTGAAAAGACAAACAGCGCCACTGAGCCAATTGAGATCCGCTGTTTCTAGACATGACCCGCTCAGTACGCCCTGACTGCTAAGTACATTAGGTAGGTAGGAGAAGAGCTGCCCAAATCTGGGGAAGTTCCACCGGATTCGTGCCGCGTCTGCAAACTTGTTCAATTAATTAGATCATTCTTGGTACTGTCGGGCGCTGCCCCCCTGTTGAGAGCAAACGACAATTCACGCGAACCAGAATCTCGGTAGCTGCTGGAATACCCCAAACTCTTTCTTGAACTTCATGCTGTACGTTGGTGTGTGAATCTGCAGCTAAACCAAGTACCCAATTCCCAACTGGCCGGACAAATAACACGCGATGGAGTCTACAATGGACGATACTACGCTGTCCACTATCTGGCTTCTAGAGGGACGCCTCTTGAGGATCGAGCATCTCCTGTACGGGAACTGGGTTCTCCAGCCGACGACATCGGCCACACGAAGCTTGCAAGACCTCGAACATCGCTTCTCTAAACTTCTACAACATATACGTGTGTACGGCGAGCTCCTCAAACTCTGTAGGTCAACTATCGCCCATCACCTCTTAGATTCCATAAAGCCCACGCGCCGCGTAACCAAGTTCAAACCCCATTCTCTATGCGTATACTTTTCATATCACCATTCTCGTCGAATTACGACTGATTGTTTATAGATAAATCTAATCCTACCCTATTCCAATCACCCCCTGCGTCTCAACCTCCTCCCGAACTATCTTCAGAAGCACTGCGCGCCATAGTTCTCTCCGCTGCCCCTGATTACCCCGC